AGATGCCTTAAAGCCAATTATCTAAAACTACCTCTTGTGGGTCCCGCTACAGTGCATCTTTCACAGTTCTGTTTCTCCAAAGTATCCAGCCTTATTTACAAGGTCACCTTTTGAAACTTTTTTCTAGCTCCATTTCTTTCTCAGCAATGTCTGTCCATTCCATGGCATTTCTGAGCCAGCATTTCTTGTCTCAAGGTTTGCACACTGTGTGAGCCTCAGGGTGCCTCAGGCTAACATGGGTGCTCTGCTAGGAAACTGTGAAAAATGAGTATTTTGTGATTGGCTTTTCACAAATATTCAAATGAATGTTATGTGTGTGGTGTATTATATGTGTTATGTTATACTGCATTAATTTTCTTAAGCAGTGTGTTAAATACAGTTTATGTTATAACATAATGTTAAAATAGAAACGATGCATGTGAGATATTTTTTTAAGAAAGGAATGAGGTACTCACACTGAGATACCAGCCACAGGACACCTGAATCTTTCAGAGAAAGAGAATTTATTGCCCCATTATCAGGAGAAATTAACTTTTTCCTGCCTCGCTCAGCCATGGAGACACTTCAGGATTCAGAGGAAGCAGCTGACACTGCCCAGACAGAATCCTGTGTTTGAATGGGATTTATGCATCGTGGATGAGGTGTATGAATATGCAACAGGCTGTTGCTTTTAAGGGTTAATCCTCTGTTAACGTAGGACCTTTTGGGGGCCTATTTTGCGCAGAAAGAGGCACCCAGACCTTACATAAGTCTTTGTTTCTATTGTCTCATATTGTCCTAATCCCAAATATCCAAATTATTATTACCCTAACAATGTTACTATATTTACAATAATTTTATTACTTATAAAATTTTAAAAGTAAGTGATTGGCATTTTTCACAGAAACAAAAGATGAGGCAGTGTTGCAGCCAAGCCTCTGTGTGGGACACAGCCCCTGCCTCATGGAGGGACACCACAGCACTTGCAGCCCTATCCCGTGGGCAGGAAGGGGTTTGCAGCGAGTGCAGCCTCCTTGGTGCCAGCCAGGTGTGAGCTGGAACGGGTTTCCAGCCAGCCAGGTGTGTTGTATTTGCAGGGAAGGTCCCAGCACAGGCAGGAAAGATGGATCTGACTCCATGTTCTCAGAAGGCTGATTTATTGCTTTAAAATATGATATTATATTAAAGAATACTATACTAACTATACTAAAGAATACAGAAAGGATGCAGACAGAAGGCTAAAAAGAGAACAATGAAAACCCCTGACTCTTTCCAGAGCCCTGACACAGCTTGGCCCTGACTGGCCAAAGAGTGAAAGCAACTCCCAGCAGAGTCCAATGGAACAATCGCCCGTGGGTGAACAATCTCCAAACACATTCCCAAGGGGCAAAACACAGGAGAAGCAAATGAGATCAGAATTGTTTTCTTTTTCTCTGAGGCTTCTCAGCCTCCCAGGAGAAAAATCCTGGGCAAAGGGATTTCTCAGAGAATGCGAATGCCACACAGGTGTGAGCTGGGCTGTCAGCGATGGGGAGAGACAGGGAGGCTGATGGGGATCAGAATCCCGTTTTACTGGGGACACTGATGGGGATCAGAATCCCATTTTACTGTGGGACACTGATGGGGATCCAATCCCATTTTACTGTGGGACACTGATGGGGATCCAATCCCATTTTACTGTGGGACACTGATGGGGATCCAATCCCATTTTACTGTGGGACACTGATGGGGATCCAATCCCGTTTTGCTGTGGGACACTGATGGGGATCCAATCCCATTTTACTGTGGGACACTGATGGGGATCCAATCCCATTTTACTGTGGGACACTGATGGGGATCAGAACCCCATTTTACTGTGGGACATTGATGGGGATCCAATCCCGTTTTTCTGTGGGACATTGATGGTGACCCAATCCCATTTTACTGTGGGACACTGATGGGGATCCAATCCCATTTTACTGTGGGACACTGATGGGGATCCAATCCCATTTTACTGTGGCACACTGATGGGGATCAGAATCCCATTTTACTGGGGACACTGATGGGGATCAGAACCCCATTTTACTGTGGGACATTGATGGGGATCCAATCCCGTTTTTCTGTGGGACATTGATGGTGACCCAATCCCATTTTACTGTGGACACTGATGGGGATCCAATCCCATTTTACTGTGGGACACTGATGGGGATCCAATCCCGTTTTGCTGTGGGACACTGATGGGGATCCAATCCCATTTTACTGGGGACACTGATGGGGATCCAATCCCATTTTACTGGGGACACTGATGGGGATCCAATCCCATTTTACTGTGGGACATTGATGGGGATCCAATCCCATTTTACTGTGGGACACTGATGGGGATCCAATCCCGTTTTGCTGTGGGACACTGATGGGGATCCAATCCCGTTTTTCTGTGGGACATTGATGGGGATCCAATCCCGTTTTGCTGTGGGACACTGATGGGGATCCAATCCCGTTTTTCTGTGGGACACTGATGGGGATCCAATCCCGTTTTGCTGTGGGACACTGATGGGGATCCAATCCCATTTTACTGTGGGACACTGATGGGGATCCAATCCCGTTTTTCTGTGGGACATTGATGGGGATCCAATCCCATTTTACTGTGGGACACTGATGGGGATCCAATCCCGTTTTGCTGTGGGACACTGATGGGGATCCAATCCCATTTTACTGTGGGACACTGATGGGGATCCAATCCCGTTTTTCTGTGGGACATTGATGGTGACCCAATCCCATTTTGCTGTGGCACACAAGCATTCCAGCCCCCACGGCTGCTGGTAAAGCCCAGGTAAGGGAGCACCAAGGGCCCTGCACGGCACCCACAGGTGTTTGGGTGACCCAGCCGTGCAGGGAGGGGAGCAGCTCCCAGGCACACACACAGGCAGGGCCCAGGTTTGTCTGTCCCTGTCCCCAGCCTGGGGCTCACCCTGGTGTCAGGGCAGGGCAGAGATCGGGGAATGGGGAGGGAGCAGCTCGGGGACACGGGGACAGACACGGGGACGGACACAGGGACGGACACAGGGACGGACACAGGGACAGACACAGGGACGGACACACGGACAGACACAGGGACAGACACACGGACAGACACACGGACAGACACAGGGACAGACACAGGGACAGACACGGGGACAGACCCAGGGACATGGGGACGGACACACGGACAGACACAGGGACAGACACACGGACAGACACACAGACAGACACACGGACAGACACACAGACAGACACAGGGACAGACACAGGGACAGACACAGGGACGGACACAGGGACGGACACAGGGACCAACACAGGGACGGACACAGGGACAGACACGGGGACGGACACAGGGACAGACACAGGGACGGACACAGGGACCAACACAGGGACGGACACAGGGACGGACACAGGGACGGACACAGGGACAGACACAGGGACGGACACAGGGACGGACACGGGGACGGACACAGGGACGGACACAGGGACGGACACGGGGACGGACACAGGGACGGACACGGGGACGGACACAGGGACGGACACAGGGACGGACACGGGGACGGACACAGGGACGGACACAGGGACGGACACAGGGACAGACATGGGGACAGACATGGGGACAGACACGGGGACAGACCCAGGGACATGGGGACGGACACACGGACAGACACAGGGACAGACACAGGGACAGACACAGGGACAGACACACGGACAGACACAGGGACAGACACAGGGACGGACCCAGGGACAGACACGGGGACGGACACAGGGACGGACACAGGGACGGACACAGGGACAGACATGGGGACAGACATGGGGACAGACACGGGGACAGACCCAGGGATGGACACACGGACAGACACAGGGACAGACACAGGGATGGACACACGGACAGACACAGGGACAGACACAGGGACAGACACACGGACAGACACGGGGACAGACACGGGGACAGACCCAGGGACATGGGGACGGACACACGGACAGACACAGGGACAGACACAGGGACAGACACGGGGACGGACACAGGGATGGACACAGGGACGGACACGGGGACAGACACAGGGACAGACACACGGACAGACACACGGACAGACACAGGGACAGACACGGGGACAGACCCAGGGACATGGGGACGGACACACGGACAGACACAGGGACAGACACAGGGACAGACACAGGGACAGACACACGGACAGACACGGGGACAGACCCAGGGACATGGGGACGGACACACGGACAGACACAGGGACAGACACAGGGACAGACACGGGGACAGACACAGGGACAGACACACGGACAGACACACGGACAGACACACGGACAGGCAAGGAGCCAGTGGGGCCTGACAGCTTCTGGGGGAGCTGCTTCTGTCCCCAGCCGGGGGACGCCCCCAGGGTCTCCACGTACAAATGTTTACGTGCTGTCCCAGGGAGAGCAGCAATGTGCGCTGCAGTGAGCGGGTTACGGCCACAGACACAAACCTACGCGTACAACATCATCTCTGGCTTCTGCAGAGTTTGATGGGATTTTCTTTTTCCAGTTAACCTGCCTGATTGAATCTTCTTGCAATCCAGGTCTAATTTTCAAAGTTCTTTTGCTTTTGCCAAGGCACCCTGCTATCAAATCTCTTATGTTAACCAGTTCCAGCCAGACAGTTGTGCTGGTCATGCAATTCGTCCACTTTTTCCAAATCAGAAGTAATTTTTGTGATTCATTACCTATCCAGATGCCAATAGTTATCCAAGTTCCATCTGCTTATGCCTGTCTGCATAGGCACAGTATAATGGGACAAAAAAGGAAGAATAGCCGTCCGCAGCTGACCAGGCCGGTGGCATCCCTTGTGTGAGCCGGTGACTGCGCACGGCGACAAACCAACGGGGAGCGGAGAGCGGCACGGAGCGGCACGGCAGCGGGACAAGGGGCACGGCGGCAGCGGGGACAGGATCGGCCCGCCGGGGCGGTGCCGCCGCGCGGGGGGACGGACGGAGCGCCCGGGCCCGCCCCTTCCGCGCCTCGGCGCGATGGAGGCCGGGGTGGCGGCGGGCGCGGAGCCGGCGGCGGGCGCGGAGCCGGCGGCGAGCGAGGCGGAGGCGGGGACAGAGCCGGCGGTGGTGGCGGAGGCGCTGCGGCTGCTGCGGATCGAGCCCTCGGCCGCGGGCGATCCCAGCCCGGGGCGGGCGGGCGACGCGGCGGAGCCGGGCTCCGTGTGTGCGGCGGAGCCGTGCTCGGTCCGTGCGGCGGGTTCGGGCTCGGGGCTCGGTGCATGCGGCGGGTTCGGGCTCGGGGCTTGGTGCGTGCGGCGGGTTCGGGCTCGGGGCTCGGTGCGTGCGGCGGGTTCGGGCTCGGTGCATGCGGCGGGTTCGGGCTCGGGGCTCGGTGCGTGCGGCGGGTTCGGGCTCGGTGCATGCGGCGGGTTTGGGCTCGGGGCTCGGTGCATGCGGCGGGTTTGGGCCCGGGGCTCGGTGTGTGCGGCGGGTTCGGGCTCGGGGCTCGGTGCGTGCTCGGAGCGCCCCGGTCCCGCTGAGCTCGGTGCCCGCTCCCCCCACAGAGGAACGCGCTGCGGAAGCGGCGGCGCTGGCAGCGCGTTCTCGCCGCCCGGCGCGGGAAGCGGCGGCAGGAGCGGCAGCGCCGCCGGGCGCGGCGGCCGGCGGGGGACGGGAGCGGGGACGGCGCGGGAGCGGCGCTCGGCAGCGGCCCCGGCGGGCCCGGACCGCCGTCCCTCCGCCGCGGGAGGGTCCCGGCCGCCCTGGCCACGGAGCGGCTGCTGCAGGCGCGGGCGGCGGGGCCGCGGCTCTGCGTGGACCTCGGCGTGGGCGGCGGCATGAGCGAGAAGGTGCGGGGGTCCTCGGGGGGTTTCGGGGGAGCCCCGCACAGGCCCCTCGGGGGTCCCGGACGCGCTGCCCTCCGCGTGTGTCCGTCCCTGCCGCGGGAGCTCGGCGGCGCCGCCCCGGGCCTGCCGGTGCCGTGTGGCCGGGCTCGGCGGCGGGTCCGCAGCCCAGCCCGGTCACCGTGCCGCCGTGTCCCCAGGAGAGCGGCCGCCTGGCCTCGCAGATCCGGCGGCTCTACGGCGCGAACCGGCGCGCCGCCCGGCCCTTCTGGCTGTGCCTGACCGGGTTCGCGGCCGGCACGCCCGTCTACGAGCAGTGCTTCCGCATGAACGACGGCTTCGAGCGGTACCTGGTGAGGCTCTGGCCGGGGGTCGGGCACAGCCCAGCCCCGGGCTCTGCGTCTCGTGTACAACTAGCCCGTTGTTGCTGCTCTCCCTTTCTCAAAGCACCCCGAGATCTGAGGAGGAGGAGAGAATTTAATGGAGTTTTTAGGTGTGTTAATCAGTTGCTAGAACAGGAACATTGTCCAAGTGAAAAGGAAAAACCCAGGTCACTGGAGATCTGTAGGATCTACAAGACCTGTAGCAGTTTGTGTGTCCAAAGCTGCAGTGTCAGTGCTGGGATGTCTCTGTGTCTGGGGAGGGCTTTGTTCTGGCAGACGGACCTGAGGCTAATGAGCTTCTTCACTCTGTCCTGTGGCTTTAAGATGGATACAACTCCAGAGAGTTACCTGGACCTGTTTCCTTTGGAGGCCATTGTTTATCTCACTCCTGACTCTGAGAACGGTAAGTATTTCACTTTAGCAAAGGGAGAACTGGGGCAAAAGGCTGACTTTTAGAAATTTCTGTTTGAGGCCATTCCACGCTTCAGGCAAGTTGTGCCTCACTGGGCTGTCTCACATGGCACAAGCTATTCTGTGTGCTCCGATCTGGTGCTGAATCTGTGCTGGTGGAGCCTGTGTGCCCCAGGCTGCAGCCCCTGGGGTGGGGAGGCTGTGCCAGGGCTGTGCCGTGGGGTGACTGCTGCTCTTTGCAGTGCTGCAGGACATCGACCCGAGCAAGGTGTACGTGCTGGGAGGGCTGGTGGATGAGAGCATTCACAAGGTGCGTGGTTCCTGCCCTGTCAGCAGGCACATCCTACTGCCTGCACATCCCACACCCAGCCCTTGTCCCTCAAATCCTGCCTGGAGCCAGCAGCGAGCTGGGAGAGGCTGCGGCAGCACAGGTGTGAGCCCCGGGGCGGGTCTGTCTGTCTGTCTGTCCCCTGAGGCCGCGTGTCCGTGTGTCCCTGCAGCAGCTGACCCTGCGGAGGGCGCGGGAGCAGCGCCTGCAGACCGCCCGGCTGCCCATCCGGGAGTACATGGTGCGAGCCCCCAACTCCAGGAACTACCACTGCGAGACCCTGGCCATCAACCAGGGTGAGGGGCTCACAGGGGGGCTGGGGGCTCACACAGGGGGGCTGGGGGCTCTCACAGCACTGGGGGCTCGCCCAGGGGGCTGGGGGCTCACACAGGGGCTGGGGGCTCACACAGGGGGGCTGGGGGCTCTCACAAGGGGGCTGGGGGCTCACACAGGGGGGCTGGGGGCACACACAGGGGCTGGGGGCTCACACAGGGGGGCTGGGGGCTCACACAGGGGGGCTGGGGGCTCTCACAGGGGGCTGGGGGCTCTCACAGGGGGGCTGGGGGCTCTCACAGGGGGCTGGGGGCTCTCACCGGGGGGCTGGGGGCTCACACAGGGGGGCTGGGGGCTCACAGGGGGGCTGGGGGTTTACAGGGGGGCTGGGGGCTTACACAGCACTGGGGGCTCACACAGGGGGGCTGGGGGCTCACACAGGGGGGCTGGGGGCTCTCACAGCACTGGGGGCTCACACAGGGGGGCTGGGGGCTCACACAGGGGGCTGGGGGCTCACAGGGGGGCTGGGGGCTCACACAGGGGGGCGGGGGGCTGGGGGCTCACACACGGGGCTGGGGGCTCTCACAGGGGGGCTGGGGGCTCTCACAGGGGGGCTGGGGGCTCACAGGGGGGCTGGGGGCTCACACAGAGGGGCTGGGGGCTCACACAGGGGGGCTGGGGGCTCTCACAGAGGGGCTGGGGGCTCACACAGGGGGGCTGGGGGCTCACACAGGGGGGCTGGGGGCTCACAGGGGGGCTGGGGGCTCACACAGGGGGGCTGGGGGCTCACACAGGGGGGCGGGGGGCTGGGGGCTCACACACGGGGCTGGGGGCTCACACAGGGGGGCGGGGGGCTGGGGGCTCACACACGGGGCTGGGGGCTCTCACAGGGGGGCTGGGGGCTCTCACAGGGGGGCTGGGGGCTCACACAGGGGGGCTGGGGGCTCACAGGGGGGCTGGGGGCTCACACACGGGGGCTGGGGGCTCTCACAGGGGGGCTGGGGGCTCACACAGGGGGGCTGGGGGCTCTCACAGGGGGGCTGGGGGCTCACACAGGGGGGCTGGGGGCTCTCACAGGGGGGCTGGGGGCTCACACACCACTGGGGGCTCACACAGGGGGCTGGGGGCTCTCACAGGGGGGCTGGGGGCTCACAGGGGGGCTGGGGGCTCACACAGGGGGGCTGGGGGCTCACACAGGGGCTGGGGGCTCACACAGCACTGGGGGCTCGCCCAGGGGGCTGGGGGCTCACACAGGGGCTGGGGGCTCTCACAGGGGGGCTGGGGGCTCTCACAGGGGGGCTGGGGGCTCTCACAGAGGGGCTGGGGGCTCACACACGGGGGCTGGGGGCTCACACAGGGGCTGGGGGCTCACAGGGGGGCTGGGGGCTCACAGGGGGCTGGGGGCTCACACACGGGGCTGGGGGCTCACACAGGGGGGCTGGGGGCTCACACACGGGGCTGGGGGCTCACAGGGGGGCTGGGGGCTCACACACGGGGCTGGGGGCTCTCACAGCACTGGGGGCTCACACAGAGGGGCTGGGGGCTCACACACGGGGCTGGCTGCGTGCCCTGCTCCCCGTGCACAAGGCGGGCACACTCGGCTCTGGGGCTGCTCTGGGCTCAGGCCGCAGAGGGAAGGCGCTCCTGAGGCCACCTCAGCCAGGTGTGACAGTGGCAGGAAGGGTGTTGGTGTCCTGTGCCCCCGTGGGCTGGCACTCCGGGGCGCGGCAGAGGGTGTGCCCGTGCTCCTTCACCTCTGCAAGGGGAATGCCTCTCTGTTGGTCCCTGCAGAGGGACTCGTGGCCCAGGCCAGCTGCTCAAAGCTTTCAGCCCTGGCCTGAGGAGTGTGTGGACAGAAGGCAGAGGAGGTGGCCGGGGGCTCTGTGTGCCCGGGGCTAGGGTCTCCCTGCCTGGCAGTGCTTGTGGGAGCACAGCAGCTGTGGCTCTCTACAGAGGGGACGCTGGCGGGTGACACATGTCAGCCAAGAGAGTGATGGGGGCACACTGCTCTTTGGATGCTGACACAGCCACTGCTTTGCCCAGAGCTCCCTACGGCCCAGTCCAAAACACCTGTCTGCCCCAGGTGAGCGGGCAGCTCATCAGGGGTTGGCTGGGGGAGCTCCCCTGGCTCAGCTGCCATCAGCTCTCCCGTGTTTGGTGGGTGTGTGCAGTGCTGGCACCGCTGTCACAGCGCGCGTGTGACCGGCCCCTGTGTGCCCTGGCAGTGTTTGATGTCCTGTGCACCTTCTACGAGACGCGGAGCTGGCCGGCAGCGCTGAGGGCCGGCGTGTCCTCTGGCAAGGGCTACGTGCTCCCGGACACGGCGGATCAGGTGGAGACAGCCCGGAGCGCCACTGCTGCCCAAGGAAACGCTTTATTTCACGGGGAGGAGCTGCACGGGCAGGAAGCGCCAGCGTGACCGTGCACGGCAGACAGCTGTTTGCAGCAGGACCTCGTTGGAGCAACGCCTTCTACCTCAGGACTGCGGTGCTGGACATCGCCGTGCCCCCCAGCAGGAAGGAAAGCCTGGGATCAAGTGAAAACTGACAGGAATTCAGTTCTTTGCAGCTGTTTGTTTGTGACTCCTTCACCTGCGCGTGTTCTGAGGTGGGGAGGAGAGCTTTAGGGTGTTTTCTGCATTTTATTGAAACAGAGTAAGGTGCAGTTGGGGTTGCAAAGCTTTTGGGGAAGGGAGAGGCCCTGCCATGGGACAGGAGAGTGCTGCTCCTGCAGGAGAAGGCGGGATGGGGAGCAGCTCCCAAGGGCACTGTGGCCCAGCAGCTTAAACCCACGGACACTTGGTGGGTTGTCGAAGCCTTTGGCTACCTAATATAAAATAAAAGGTTTAGATCCCCATTGTGTCCCTGCTGATGAGGGGTGCCTCGTCACAGCTGGCACACGCAGGGCCCTGAGCCCCGTGTCCCTGCTGGGAGGCACCTGGGCCTGGCTGTGCCCTGCACGGAGCAGGGTCAGGTGCCAAGCCGCAGCAGGAGTGTGTTTGGTGCAGCTGAGCCGATGCGTTACCTCAGCCACTGCTGCCTCCTGGCCAGTGGCAGCAGGCCCTGCAGGCCATCTGAGGTAAGTTTGGTTATGTGTTTTCATTCCTGTCTCACAGCAAACCCTTTCACAGCCCGGGGTGTGTGACAGGGGTGTGCAGGAGCAGGGGCTTTAACCCAGCTTTGAGGTGTAACCCAAGCCTGGGTTAACCCGAGGCTAAGCCACCGCGGGGGCTCCGACTGTTTCTGTGCCGAGCCCCTGGGGCTCTTGGCCGGCTGGGTGTGGAGACAATCCCCATCAGTCAGTGTCCCCGAGCCAGGGCACAGCCCTGTCCCCACCGTGCCTGGCAGAGTTGCTGCCGCAGGGGCCGCAGGGCAGCAGCAGCAGCAGCAGCAGCAGCACACTCAGCACGCCCAGCACGGCTGAGGAGAAGCAGCTGGACTGGGATCACTGTGTTCCCTCGGCCACCCGGGCCCGTCACGTTCGGGCAGGGTGGGGCTCGGTGTTCCATCAGCGCACAGCCTGCCTGGGAGCAGCGTCAGCGAAAGGCAGACTGAAGGGCTCTTCCCCACGGGTGGCAGAGGCAGCTGAGAGAACACGGCGAGCCTGCGCCCCTGCGCAGCCCGTGGGATGAGCCCTGGGCAGGACACGCACACTGCAGCGCTCCGAGAGCAGCTGGGGCGAGGCTGCCCTTGGGGAGCCCTGCCAAAGGTGTGGGCACGTCCTGCCGTGGCCGTCCTGGGCTGAGCAGTGCCTGGGGGACAGCCTGAGGTGGGCAGAGGGCACACACGCGGCTCTGTGCCCCCCGGTGCCCCCATCACAGCCTCGGGGACGCCCTGAACTGCTGCAGGAGGCAGAGGATGGCAGCGGCCAGGGCCATGTGCTGGCGGGCCAGCAGCTTGGTGCCCAGCTCGGGGCACACCTGCCCGTGCAGCTGCTGCTGCAGGGCCTGCACCAGCCGCTGGTAGGTGCCCACCACGCGGCCCAGCGCCGCCCCCAGCTCCTGCTGGCGCTGCCCGCAGTGCTGGCAGTGTGCCACCTGGAAGCAGGTCACTGCCAGCTGCACCAGGCGGTCGAAGGTGGCTCTCAGGGCGCACTGCACCTCGGGCAGGGGCTGCTCCGCGCTCAGCAGCGCCTGGCAGCTGGACAGCAGGTCCTGGGAAGCCCAGCCCAGGGCGCCCTTGCTCTCCGCGCCCTGCTCCGCGCACTGGCGGTGCCGGTGGGCGGCCGGGCTCCCGCAGAGCTGCCCCACAACCTGCTGCAGCTCCACGGTGTAGGCCAGGAAGCGCCAGAGATCCGCGGGGCTGGCCCGCGCCTGCTGCTGCAGCTGCCCGAGCGCCCGGAGGGGCGGCTGCTGCCCTGCCCTGCCCCCGGCAATGCGCAAACCGCCCCCGGGGGCCCTGGCAAGGCTGCAGCTGCTGGAGGGGGAGCGGGTGAGGGGCCCTGGCAGCTGGGGGGGGCTGCTTTCACCCTGCCCCTGGCTGTGGGGCTGTGGGAAGCAGCTGATGTAGGGCAGGCGGCAGCCGCAGCTCTCCAGCCCGTGTGGCACGGGGGACAGAGGGGTCTGCTCACCCTCCTCGGGGTTAAAACAGGGGAACGAGTGTGTTACAGCCCCGTGGCCTCCTGCTCCTGTCCCCGGGGCAGCTGGCACCGGGGAGATGGAGAGCCCTGCAGCCGGAGGCAGGCAGGAGGCAAGGGGAGCCCGGGCGGGCTGCGGCTGCTGCCGCGCCACGATCCCCGCACCTCTCGGCCGCCCTGCATCCCCGGGCTGCCCCGCACCCGGCCCCGAGCTGCCCGCCAGCTCCCCGGCACAGCCTGCTCCTGCTGCCGGGGACGCGGGCGCCTTCCTGCCACCAGCACCGGCCCCGCTGCACCCGCTGGGCATCACACAGCCCCGGGGCTCCAGGGGGACATTGGCCCTGTCCTGCAGGCTGTGTGACACGGGGGCTGGCCTCACGCCCAGTGCCAGCCAGGAGAGGCGGGTGAGAGCCCCCGGGGCGCTGCTGCAGCCTGCCAGGAGCTGGGCTGTGTCTGGGAGCCCCGTGTGCCCCTCGGGCACCCTCAGCAGGCTCTGCCTGCTCACCCCCTGCCAGCCCCCGGCCCGGGACACGGCCCCCTCGCAGCTGCTGCTGGCACTGCCCTGGATGTCAGCACGGAGCTCGCCGTCAGTACGGCACTGACCGTTGGCATGGCACTGACCATCGGCATGGCCCTGGCTGTCAGCCTGGCACTGACCGTCACCATGGCACTGACCATCGGCATGGCACTGACCATCAGCATGGCACTGACCATCAGCACTGCCCTCAATGTCAGCATGGAGCTGGCCATGGGCATGGCACTGACCCTCGCCATGGCACTGACCATGGGCACAGCACTGACCACGGACACTGCCCTGACTATCAGCATGGCATTGGCCCTCGCCATGGCACTGACCATGGGCACAGCCCTGGCTGTCAGCGTGGAACTGACCATCAGCGTGGCACTGACCATGGGCACAGCCCTGACCATCAGCACAGCCCTGACTCCCACCATGGCCCTGACCATCAGCAGCGCCCCTGTCAGGGGCACAGCTCTGGCCATGGGCTTTGCTCTCCCGACAGGGAGCCAGGGACGGCTCCACCCTGGCAGGGAGCAGCCCCTGCCCCTGGGCCAGCTCCCGGGGAGGGGCCGTGCTGGGCACAGGAGCCGGTGGCAGCAGCAGGAGCTCGTCAGAAGGGCACACAACAGCAGAGGGCACAACGCCGGCCTTGTGCCGGGCAGGCACCACCTCACCCCGCTCCTCCTGTGGCACTGGGCTCTGCCAGCCCGCAGTGGGCACAGGGTTCTCGTGGCTCCCGCACCCGGGACCTGCCTCCCCTGGGCAGCTCCACCGGGCAGCTCCCCTGGCACTGTGGGGAAGGGGCTCCAGGGACAGCAAAGGCGGCTGCTGTGGCTGCAGGCTGCTCTCCTCCTCCCCACCCTGGCCACCGGGAGGGTGAATGTCCAGAAGGGAGGAAACCAGCCATTCCATCACCGACTTTGTCCCCGTGGTGCCAGGCTGCGTGTCCCTCGGAGCAGAGCAGGGCTCTGTGCCAGCAGTGTCCCTCTGGGCCTGGGGGGCTGCAGGAATCCCCCTCTCCACGTCCTTCCCCGTGTCCTCTGCCGAGGGCTGAGCGGGTGGCCAGGAGCAGCAGCGCTGTGCGGAGCCTGGGGCAGCTGCAGGGAAGCTGACCTGTGAGGTGTAATCAGTTTTCAGGAAGGACCTTCTCTTCCTCAGGCTCTTGCTGCAGGTCAGCTCCCTCTCCTGGCCCTGCTTCTCCGTGGTCGAGGGGTTCTCCCCCAAGCTGTAGCACCTCAGCCTCTTTGGGATGCAGGAGGAGCTCCCTGCGCCCTCCCAGGATGCTGCATCATAGCCTGATGGCAAGAAAAACAGAGAAATCAGCAAGTCATCCCGGGCAGCAGAATACCCTCACACCTACACACAGGGCCCAAAAAGCTCCTGGCACAGCCTTGGAATCACAGGCACAAAAGTCCAGCAGCAATTCCGGGTTCCCAAGAGCAAAAGGAAATGATCTCTCGTGGGGAGTGGAATGTTAGGAAAAGGCAGAGCCTGGGTGTGTGGTACAGGATCTGGGCATGAGGGAGCAGCTTCACCTGCAGGCAGGTGTGGCTGGGACTCGCCAGGTAAATCTGGGGACAGCAGCAGCCCCAGGAGAGCACTGCCCTCAGCTGTAGGCACATCACCAAGGAGAAGCACGGCCAGAAGGCACCAGATGGATTTTTAGGTGGTAACAATTTCCACAGTGACAGCTTTGCCTGAACACAGTACAGTGACTGCGCATTACTATCAAAGCCAAAACTGTTCCAACGGCATGAATTACATTCCTAAGAGGTTCTGTTAATACTGAAAGAGCTGATTGCTTCAGGAACAGGAATACTCCCATTTCTGAGAAAATGAATCCTTGACCAAGCTCTGAACCCAGCCTCTGGCCTGAGCACACCTTTGATCTCGGGGGGTTCATGTGACAACGCTTTACAGGTTTGGGACATTCCAGAATGCCTGAAAACTGAAACTACTGCAAACTGACTTCTCCCAGCACCGTGTGTTTGCACATGATAACGAGTCCCCCTGCAATGTCACCGTAAGGGCGCTGAGGAGCGGCCTGCAGAGCACGGAGGCTCAAAGCGCCTTCCAAAGCCCCGCAGGAGCTCCGGGAGCAGGCAGGGCAGCCCGCAGGGGGACGGAGCAGGCAGCGCCGCAGCCCTGCAGCAGGACCCGCTGCGCCCTTACCTGCCGGCGGGCTGAGCCGGTCCGCAGCATCGTAGAACTCCTCCTCGGAGCTGGAATCGGCGAACCCCGGCGGCGGCCGCAGGACGGGCTCGCCGCGCCCCGCTGTCCCCGGGGCGGGGGACGCTGCGGAGCCCGGGCTGCGGCCGCGGCTGCCCTTGGCGCTCCCCTCGGGCGGCGGGGCCGGAGCCTGGCCCTGCCCCGCGGGGCCGCCACCGGGCCGCGCCTGCGGGCAGCAGGAACCGTCCCCGGTGCCGCCGCCCGTGCCGGCGGGGCTGCCCGCGGCGCGCCCCGGCTCGGAGCCGCTCTCGGAGCCGCCCGTGTCCCGCACGGCGGGCGTGCAGAACCGCAGCGGCCCCGGCCGGGAGGAAGGGCGCGCGTCCGCCTCATCCTCCTCCAGCGCATCCGCGGAGTCGCTGGAGCCGCTGGTCCTGCAGCCGCGGCTCTCGGCGTTGGCCGAATCGGAGGCCTCGGAGGCGCTGTCGCCGCCGGTGTCGCCGCTCGCCGCGGGGCCGCGGGGCTCCGCCGCTCCCGGTGCCGCGCCGCTGCTCGCCGCGGGGCTCCCCGGGCGCCGCTCCGAGCCCGGACCCGGCTCGCAGGAGCCCTCGGAGTCGCTGCAGCCTCGGGATTCATAGCCTGCCGTGTAAACGAGCCGCTCAGCCCGGGCTGGGGCAGAGCCTGACCCGCGGATCCCCACGGGGGCATCAGAGCCCCCGGCCAGCAGGGCAGAGTGAGGATGGAGCTGCGGGTGCTCTGAGCCCCCAGAGCCCAGGGCAGGCTGGGGATGGAACTGTGGGTGCTCTGAGCCCAGGGCAGGCTGGGGATGGAGCTGTGGGTGCTCTGAGCCCAGGGCAGGCTGGGGATGGAGCTGTGGGTGCTCTCAGAGCGGCTCCCGGAGTTCAGGGCAGGGGCACAGGGATCTGGGGGTGCTCTGAGCCCCCAGAGCCCAGGGCAGGCTGGGGATGGAGCTGTGGGTGCTCTGAGCCCAGGGCAGGCTGGGGATGGAGCTGTGGGTGCTCTGAGCCCCCAGAGCCCAGGGCAGGGTGGGGATGGAGCTGTGGGTGCTCTGAGCCCAGGGCAGGCTGGGGATGGAGCTGTGGGTGCTCTGAGCCCCCAGAGCCCAGGGCAGGGTGGGGATGGAGCTGCGGGTGCTCTGAGCCCAGGGCAGGCTGGGGATGGAGCTGTGGGTGCTCTGAGCCCCCAGAGCCCAGGGCAGGCTGGGGATGGAGCTGTGGGTGCTCTGAGCCCAGGGCAGGCTGGGGATGGAGCTGCGGGTGCTCTGAGCCCCCAGAGCCCAGGGCAGGGTGGGGATGGAGCTGTGGGTGCTCTGAGCCCAGGGCAGGCTGGGGATGGAGCTGCGGGTGCTCTGAGCCCCCAGAGCCCAGGGCAGGGTGGGGATGGAGCTGTGGGTGCTCTGAGCCCAGGGCAGGCTGGGGATGGAGCTGCGGGTGCTCTCAGCCCTCTCCAGCCCGCCAGAGCTGCCAGGCCAGCTGAGCCCAAACCCTCGGTGCCCACGAGCCTGCAGCTCTCACAGAGCCAGGGCACCCTGAATGCTGGAGAAGCCCTCTGGGACCATCCAGTCCAGCCTCAATCAAGCTCATCACACAGCCCTGGCCTGCTGCTGCAGGAGCTGGGCCACGCACCCGTTCCTCCCCACCCTGTGCCACAATAAGGCTGTTTTTACGGACCTTCCTCAGCTGAGACGCGGTGCAGCTGCTGCTGTTTCTCTCCCCAGGTGAATATGGAGGCGTTTGCATCCACAAGGAGTCTGTAGTAGCCAGCGATGAGGCACACGAGGTCCTTTGCACTGTTTGACTCCAGCAGCAGAGTAAGCACCTTTTTTGGTTTATTTTCAGAGGTGTGGGGAAAAAAAGAGTAAAGAAGATTAGAATAAGCAAATATAGATTAGAATAAACAAACATTGTTTGTACCACAGTCAGCAGGAACAGGCTGCACAAGGACAAGGCACCCCCTCTGTCTCATACAAGGAGGCACAAAGAAGAGAAATTTGTTTTTCTAGCCTTTTGTGCCTTTGCTGTGTCTCACTGATGGAGGAAAAAAAATCACTTTTCCTCAGCAGGAAAAATCACTTCTCTCTAGTAATTTTTTTGGTTCTTCCTATGAGGTTTCCCTGCCGAGTCTGCTCTAAGCCTTTTATCCTGGTGACTCCCCTTTGGAACCCAGGAAATCCCTTTGGCTGCCCTGGAGGGCTCGAGCCCCTGCCCGGGGGGATCAGAGACCTTGGCACAGAGCCCAAGACCCCTGTGCCTTTGATTCAGCCCTTGAAAAAAACAATCACCAACCTTGTATGAAGAATTACAAGTCAAGAGAGTTTAAGTAGAATAATAGTTTGTCATGGGGTGAAAAATAGATTTTTGAGGTTTTTAGAATGGGGTTCAGGGGGCAAGATGGAGGAATTTGGGCATGCCTTGTCCTTTTTCCTTCTTCTTGGCCTCCATCTTCTGGGTGATGTTGGCACTTTTAGATTGCTTTAGAGTAGAAGCTCAGTGTCTAACACAGGTGATGGGTATTGGGAAGTAACTGTAAATATTGTACAGGTAGTTTTTAGTATAAAAAGGTAACACTGCCCTGGGGCAGGCAGAGTGCCTCTGACTGTCCTGCTGGAGGGACCTGGGCAGGGCAGGAGAAAGAATTTTATAGACAAGGAACAATAAACAACCTTGAGACTGAGAAATGAAGAGCTCTGACTCCTCCTTTGAGTGCTGGGCTGGGAAAAGAGACTTTCTAACACAGCTTGGGGTCACTATGAGCAGCAGAGACGCCGAGAACTCCTCTGGCCTGTGAGGAGAGCCGATGGCGCAGGTGCCCCCTCAGGTGCGCTCACCTTCAGGTCCTGCAGGTAGATCTTGACGGTGCTGACGCGCTCCGAGTCCTCGCTGAGCTCCACCCTGCTGATGCTGGGGAACTCGGCCAGGCTGCTGGCGATGTTCAGCTTGCTGTTCACGATCTGGCTCACGCCGTGCCTGGCGCCCACCAGCAGCGCCACGTACGACTCCCGGTCCTGCAGCTGCACAGGGGCACGGGTCACACCTGGGCACGGGTCACACCTGGGCATGGGTCACACCTGGGCACGGGTCACACCTGGGCAGGGACCCCTCGGCCCCCCAGCTCCTGTGGGGTCCCAGCACTGACCCTCCTTCCACAGCAGCCCCCTCCCTGCCCTTTCCCCACACAGGGACAGCAGCCTCCCGAGGCGCCAGGGGTGCAGCAGCCACCTGGCGCACCCAGGGATGGGGCTGGCAGCAGGTGGGCACTGTCACGGTGTCCCCATATGGACCCAGCGAGACCTGCTGCAAGGTAGAAACCTCACAAAGACGTTTCTGGGCTTGGAAGATACGTCAGTGCTTTTTGTTAAAGTGATGCACTGAATGGAAAATGAATTAATGCACATATAACCTGGCAGAAATTGTTCAATTTGCAGGTAGGTGTGAAGTTTAGCATTGCTGGGACCCATGGGTGCCCCCCAGCATGGCTCAGCTCCCTGTGTGACACAGCTTGTGCTCTGCAGCTCAGCACAGACCCAGCTGGGGACAGGCAGAAAAATCAACAACCCAAGAAACCTCTCAGAGAAAGGGAAAAGTTCTTTTTTACAGCAAGATTTAAGGGTTTTCAGTGTTTTCCCAGGAGTTCGAAGCCTGCCCATATTTCCCAAGCACTTTATAACACACAAAGGATAGACAGGGTTTATCTGAAGAGCAAGAGTGACAGCTTCCAACCACAAAAAGTGCAAAACTGTTCTGCAGGCCGGTCTGTGCTGTGGACTTCAGTGGGATTAAACTGATTTTCTCCAGCACAGCCCCTCACCAACACCCACCATGGCATCCCAGGGCAGGGAGAGGCACTGTGGCCACTGGGACTGCATGTCCAAAGCAATTCCACTCTCAAACAGCTCCTTCTACCATGGTGGCACTGAAAATCCCACTCACAAACAGCTCCTACCATCGTGGTGGCACTGAGAATCCCACACATAGCCAGCTCCTACCACCATGGTGGCATTGAAAATCCCACTCACAAACAGCTCCTACCATCGTGGTGGCATTGAAAATTCCCGACACAACCAGCTCCTACCATCGTGGTGCCATTGAAAATTCCACTCACAAAGAGCTCCTACCATCATGGTGGCACTGAAAATCCCACTCACAAAGAGCTCCTACCATCATGGTGGCATTGAAGATCATCCCGCTGTACATCTTCAGCTCCCCCAGGATCTGCAGGTAGCTGAGGCGCACCTGGGCTGCGCTGAGTGTGTGCTTGGGGGGCAAGAGAGGGAGCAGGGTCAGAAACAGGCTCTGCAGGCCCTGCAGCAGGCACACAGCCTGGCACCAGCACAGCCAGCTCAGTGTGCCCACAGAGGTGCCCACGGAGCCCCCACACAGCCCATGGCAAGCACAGCACAGGGAGATCAGGGAGCGTGGGGGCAGAGAGCAGCCCAGGGGAGGGCACACCTGAGTGGGGATCACACACTACCTTCTGCCGAGGGTCCAGCAGCACCTGGTTCCTCTTGAGGTGGTAGCTGATGGCTTTCTTGATGTCCTTGCCTCGCATGTTCCGCAGCAGGGTGGGCGAGATGAAGTTCTCGATTCCCCAGTCCCTCCTGGCAGGAAGAGGGAAGGGAGCACAGGGGGTGCCAGCCACGCTGGCCCCACGGCACAGGGCAGGGCAGGGGCACCGGGCAGCCCTGGGGGGCTGTGGCACCCCCTGGAACTCAGTGCTCTCTGCCCCTGCAGGTCGGGGGGGGATTGCACAGTGTGCACTCTGAGCTGCAGAATGGCCATGGTTTCACCTGGTTTCACAGGAGCGAACTCACAGCCTGCCTGAGCAGCGCAGTCCCCCTGTCCCCTCGCCGTCCCCAGGACGGACAGTCTGTCCGTGCATGCACCTTGCTTGGGTGACAGGATTGTGACATTGCAGCACTTCCTGCACCCAAAACGTGGGCCAGGTGTGCTGCTGGAGTTTGCTCAGCCCGGGCATTAAACACCTGTGGGGTGAGAGCAGCACAGCTGCCCCTCCCTGCACACAGCTGCGCACGTCTGGCTGCACACGAGGCAGCCAGGGCCTGGTAATTAACCTGGCCACCACACAGGGCCCGGTAATTAGCAAGGAGCTCATCACCGCTGCCTGCAGCGGGGTCCCTCTGGGGCAGGAGCAGTCCAGGAGCACCAACGTGCAGCACAGCACACCTGCCCCTTCCGAAAGCATTGTTTGGTCATTTCCCCACAGATGCCAGTACTCCACACTGCCCAAAGGAGGCGTTTCTGGGCTGCTTCTGGCGGATGCAGAGATGCGCCGGCGATTACACCCTCTCTCTGCAGACACTGCAATCAGCGCTGGCAGGAGCAGCTCGGGTAACCATCACTGCCTGAGAGAGCTGCAGTTTCAGGGCCCTGGCCCTGTGACAGAGAAGAGCCTCCCTGTGCCTCGGGACACACCCAGGAGTTCACTGCCTGCACTGCTGAGGCAGGTCCGGGGGTTTGGGATTTGCAGTAATTACATATCCTCTGAACAGAGAGAAACATGGCTCTCCCAGGAAAATCCTGGCCAGCTGTGTAGAAGCTGTGGGAAACTTAGAAGAACAAATTCAAACCATTATCTCTCTTTCTGTAACCATTGTTTATAAATATGGTTCTCCAGAGTGCACTATTCATAGCTCACCAATAGTATAAAAAAAAATTCCTAAAAGCCAATCAAATCTTAAATCCACCATTATTTCTGTAAAAACTGTAGATTCGTGATAATGAAGTATCTTTTCATACACCATTATTTCTATAAAATATGTAGAGTTCTAATAATAAAGTGTCTTATCACCTTCTGATGATGAAGCCTCTATCTCAGCTATATCAGTGGCCCTTCAGAAGCAGGGCTTGAGGACAGGGAGGCCCCCAGGCCACCCTGCCCAGCCAAGGGGCTCAGTCCCCTCTGGCCTCCTGTGCAGCAGCTGAGCCCCCCTTTGGGGCGCTCCGGCTGTCCCTGGGCTCGGTGGCAGGGGAGCAGGGGGCACTCACTCGATGTATTTCAGGGACACCTTCTGGGGCTGGGCGCAGGCTGAGATCCTCTCCTGGATGTGCAGGGCAGCCAGGCGCAGGGCCACGCTGCACTTCATCTCCACTGCAAACCTCTCCTGGAGCACGTCGCTGCAGCTCTGGGGCAAACACAGCACAGTCAGGCCCGCGGGAACACGGAGCAAGGCTGCCGGCACGGCGCAGCGCCACGCAGCCAGCTGGGGACATCCCCAGCCCAGCACACACTCTGCTCGTGCTTGTAACTTTATCTCTGATACACCTGACTTAGTTGGTAAAGCTGATTTAAGAGTTCGAGGCAAATTGAATCGAAATGCCCTGATTTTAAGTGCTCTGCATTTCCATGCAGCTGAGCCACTCTGGGGCACGCTCTGGTCTAAGGCACAAATGAGGAAGGGCTGAGAAGGGATTCCCAAGGACAGAACCCAAGCCGCAGTGTCACCTGCAGGTACAGATACTCAAAGGCCACTGGGTCTTCCTGCAGGAGGTCCAAGGGGTCCCTGGGGACAAAGCACACCCTGAAGAGGCAGCGGTAGTCATGAGAGTCTCTCTTCTGGACCACCTGCAAGAGAGAGAGAGGGGGTCACACTGCTGGGCAAGATGAAACGGGAAAGCCTTACAAATATCATTGTCTGGCAAAGGATTTTGAGAATATGGAAACTACAAGAGAGACGGAAATGAAAGCAAGCTTTGAGATACCTCAGTTACTGAACAACGGGAAAACAATGGTGTGGCCGGCTGAAGGTGATCCCCTATTGATGGAGCAACACCCTCTGCTTGCAGACAGGCCCAAGGGGCAGAGCAGACCCTGCAGCTTGGCAGAAGGGCCCAAAGAGGAGTTTGTAGGGTTTAAATGTAACAGAGTGTGGGAATGTAATGATTCTTATAGGCTGTATGGAAATGCTATAGGATTTGTATCTTGGACTGTATTGGTTAGTGAGAATCAGAATATTCAACACAGAAGATAATTTATGTTATTGTAATGGGAACCTCGCACTCTTACCCTTTTGCTCTCTTACCCCTTTTAATCTGTTACGCCTTTTACACTCTCACCTTCTCACCCTCTCTCCCCCTCTCTTCTCTCAGCCTGCTCCGAGCTGTGTTTGGCAGCTCCCAGCAGGGCCCTGCACCCAGGCCCTGTGCAATAAACCCCAAATCCCTGACCTGGCCTCAGAGATCTCTCATCTCCTTCCATCCCCACCATCCCAAACGCCTGATGCTCCCACACAGACCACCATCCCTCCCTCCAGAGTGCACCAGGAGCCTTTGCTCTGCAAACCCACAGGAATGGTTTAACCCCACAGGCAGGGGAATCGTGAAGATTGTCCTGAACAAACACAAGGAGACTTTGCTCGTGATTGTAACTTTATCTCTGATTCTTCTTCTGTTTTTTTCTTCTGCCTGCAATAGCCCAGAAGCCCTTTGGCAGCAAGGCCTCACTTAAACACCTGCTGATCCCAAACACTCACAGCGTCACCAGGACAGAGGCTCTGGGGCTGTGTGATAACAGCAGGGGAAGGGGCAGCCTGCTCTGCTTTGGAGCACAGTCACGAGACACAGCAGCCCTAAACAGACCCTGAATCATCCCTATAATGTCAGCACAATGTCCAGGCTCTGAGTTATCCATCAGCACATTTTATTCTGGGCACATCCTGCCCAGCAGAAATCCTCTGACCCGTGTGCCCAGTGCTGTGAGACACCAGCCCCCGAGGCAGGGCTGGGGCTGGGCGATCCCTGTGTGCGCCTCCCCACTCAGGGCACCCCGTGTGACCCTCTGCAGCGGCTGCCACCCAACACGCCCGGCAGCAGCGAGCTGGGGCAGCTGAGCAGGCCCCCCTGACAAACCTGCAGGGGCAGCAGCCCCCCGGGGGCTCACAGGACACCGGTGCTGGCTCAGGATTTAATTTAACCCAGCGGCCCCTGCTGGGGTGAATGCTCTGGCCGCTCAGGGAGCTGTGAGCGCAGAGGCCGTGCACAAGCAGCCCTCTGCAGATGGGCTGATGTAACAGGTGGCACAAAGGATGTCACCCACCGCTGCTCTCCAGGCAACGCCAGCCCAGGGGTGCTGCTGTGTGTGTGTGGGCACTGCTCCCAAAGTGCCTTCCCTGGGGCGTGGGGTGTGAACGCCATGGCAGAGGTGGATGGCAGCGCTGGGCACAAGGGTTTACCCCTCTGGTGACCCCCGTGCCCTCGCTGCCCGCTCTGCAGTGGGGCTGTGGGACGCACAGGGGCCCTGCTCACCTGAGCAATGAGCTCCTCCTCGTGCAGCAGGTGGATCTTGGCCAGGTTGTACTGCTCCTCCAGCACCAGGGCGAAGTGGGCGATGCTGCGGATGGACAGCTTCTCCTGCAGGGTCAGCACGATGTCCTGGCAGGGCACAGGGCCACACAGAGCTCAGCTGGGCCCCAGCGCTGCTGCAGGGCTGCCACCGCCCGAGCCCGGCCTGCAGAGCTGCAGGGGCAGACACAGGCACAGCACCACCACCCAGGACAAGGTGCGCCAGCTGCAGACCCCAAGGTGTCGCAGGAATCAGACCCATCTCTGGAGCTGCCTGTGCTGAGCTGCCTCACTCTCACAGCTTTGGGGGGCGGCGAGCACCTTCTGCCCCCCCTGAGCGACAGAAACACCCCAGGTGTTTGCTGTGTTTGTCGTTCTTGCTTTCTAGAACTCTGCAACCTTTTGGATCTCTGGAAGTGTCCCAGGCCAGGCTGGAAGCAAGTGAGAGGTGTTCCTGCCAAGGCGGGAGCTTGGAACTGGTCTCTAAGGTCCCTTCCAACCCAAATCAGTCTGTGATTCTGTGATTTGTGAAAAAAAAAAAACTAGAAGGAACTTGTGAAGAACACTTCTCTCCAATAAACAAGAATTTGAGACTGGAATTGTAAAAATCCTACCACATCTCACTGAAATTGGTGTTTCACTTTGTATTAGAGAATTCTGTCAACATTCTAACTGTTATGGAAGTAACGAGGTTCACTTTTGGCAACAAGAAAATATCACCTCAGGCTTGACTGAGCACAAATTGAAACAGAAGCCCTTGGGCTCACTCCAGCCTTTTGAGCCAAGCAAAAACGTTTGACTCACCTCAGTTTTAAGCCAGGATGTCTCAAAACACAGAGGAATTTCAGGAAACACCTGGCTTGGGAAGCATTTCACTCATTTAGATATTTCTGGAGGGCAATTGTGAGGGCTGCTCTCAAAAACTGGGAAAACTTATTCCATTTCAGAGCTGAGCAACTCAAGCCAAAGACGAAGAGCTAATCCATCCTTTAGAAATTAAACCCTTGGGGAACAGGCATTCAAATATCTCTTTGCAACTCTCCTTTCCTTTCTACCTCCTTGCTTTATTTCACTACTTCATTTTTCTAGACCCTGCAAGTCAAAAGACTTGCAGACACTTACTTGCCTGAGACCACAGTGGTTCTGTGAAGCTTGAAGGAGCTAGACAAACTCCTCCTTTTCTGAGGAAAGTTTTCACTGCTGGATAAATGAAATCTCTTTGTGTTTCCCTTTAATATACTTTCAGCCTGATAGCCCCAGCACGCCTGTCCATCGTGAGTCTCTCCCACAGCATCTGCACTGTGCAGGACACCAGCTGTCCTTTAGGTAATTTATGACCTCCAGCCACTGGCCATGGCCAAATCCTACCACGTCCAGCATCAACCCTGAGCAGCTGCAACGCTCAGTCCAGCAAAGCTGGGGGTGTGCAAGGCTGTGTCCAAGCACAGCAGCTGGGGAAGGGCTGGGTGCACGGCTCTGCAGAGCAGCACTGTGCTGTCAGGGGAGTGATCTGAGGGAGGATCACCCTTTGCTCAGGAGGATCATTCCCTGTGTGCTGCTCTGGCACCTGAGGGGCTGGATCAGCTCTCGTGTCTGCAGAGGGAGCATCCTTACAGCGCAGAACGGGGCTGCAGCTCACAGACCAGCCCAGCCAGCAGTGCTCAGTGCAGCTGGGGGGCTGCAAGGGCCCTGCCTGCAGCTGGTGGGTCGGGCTGGGGGGGCGGGAGCAGCCTGCAGAGCTCCTTACCTTCACCGTGGTGCTGCTCTCAAAGCGGAACGCCTTGGTCTGCCCGTTCTCCAGGTACACCTTGAGCACGTTGGGCATGAACAGGAGGGAGCTGCCCTGCAGAGCAAGAGCAGCAGCTGCACCCTGGGGCACCCGGCCTGCAGCACCAGCTGCTCTGCCTGCCTCTGCAAGGCCAGGAAAACCCTCCTCTGCCTTGGCAACCCTTTCCCCCAGCACATGATCAGGGCTTGCTCCTGATGATGGCTCTGAGACAGAGCAAAACTCTCCAGAGCAGAAATCCGTTCTGATTTAGGTGAAATGTACATCTTTGGGTCTGTGGCTGGAAAACACAGCTATGTAGCCTGACTGCAAAGGCCTAGGCTCAGGGAAACTGCTTCAGTGAAGGACAGAGAGAAGGGGGGAGACAGAGGGTGATAGAGAGAGACAGAGACTGCTGTGAGAGCAGGCCAGCCTGACCTAGGAATTCTTCCTGATAAACAAGAACCAGCAGCAAATGTCACTGAAATTTGTAAAATGAGTATGTATGAACCTACTGTGAAACTGTACGCAGATGTATTTGAGAGGGGGATAAAAAGGGACCTGGAGTTCCCAGAAGTACATGTGGCTTTTAAGGAGAGCAATCTCCGCATGTGTCCTGTAAAAGGCATCTTGCCATCATCAGCCAGCAGTGCCCAGGCTGAGAGCAGCCCCTCAATGCCACAGGAGCCTGGCAAACACACAGCGCTGCTCCACCAGCCCTGCCCCGGCACCTGCAACCCTGGCACGTCCCAAAGCAGCAGGGGATGCCACCCGAGTGTCCTGAGATGGGTACCAAACACGTGGCACAGGACAGGACACCCTCAGCCAGAATATCTCTGCTGCCTGGCAAACACACAGCGCTGCCTCCACCAGCCCTGCCCCGGCACCTGCAACCCTGGTGAAATAGAGATTTTTGGAGCTCGCTTGAATTAGCAATATGAATTAAGCATTTAAAGTTTAGCCTGTAGAACTATGTGTTGAATTTTAACCTTTTTACTTAAGAAACCTCTGCCATAGTACAAAGGGCATAGGAAAATGCAAATTTCTGAAGTTTCTTGCATAAAGAACAATACCAGAGAAGACCAAGAGATACAAATAGCCCGGATAAGGAACTCCTCTGTCTCCAAGCTAATCAAGGCCGACAGACTACTCAGATAAGCACCAAGGGACCGAAAGTGCATGCGCAAAGGAGAAAAGTTCAAAAGTTCAGTCCTGAGGAAGACCACAATCTTCAGCCTCAGAGACCAGCAGAGACCCGCACACAGCAAACAAGGCGTGCCCAGAAGGGCGTGGATCTGATTGCCAGGCGAGGCGAGGGGCCAGGGGTTGAACATGCATGGCAAAGTTGTGCAATGCATTGCACATGGAACACCTTTGTGAATAAAGACGCGGGACAGCCCGAGGCTCGGGGCACAAGTTCTCACAAGAGCTGTCTCGCTTGTGCCGGGTGCTGACATGCATCCCCACTTCACAACGGTATCTGGCTGTGGAGTTCATTCGCTCCGCGTATCGCTCCACTGGCACCTCCCAAAGCAGCAGGGCATGGCACCAGAGTGTCTGAGACGGGTCCCAAACCGCTGGCACGGGACAGGACACCCTCAGGGGTGGATGAGGAGGTGCCCTGCTCTGACGCTGGCTGCTAGGGTACACCCAGGGCTAAGCAGGCTTGTTGCTTCCATGAGGATTAGGGCTGGGATTAGTGGGGTTGAGGTTTCACAGTCCTCTTAGGAGGGTGGTGAGTCACAGGGGGAAGGCTAGGGCTCAGTTTATAGATAGTTGGGTGGTTGGGGTAAATGTGCAGGGTGGCAGTCCTAGAAGGTTAACGAGTAGGAGGAAGATTATGAGGGATGTTAAAATTAGGGCTCCTTTGTGTCGTTTTTTGTCTAGGGGTATTATTAGTTGTTTTGTGACTAGGTTGATAAACCATAGCTGGAGAGTTAGTAATTCATCGATTGTCTAGGGAGGGTGGTAAGAGAGCTGGGAAGCTGAGAAGCCTCAGAGGAAAAGGAAAACATTGTTTTATTTGCTCTTTTCATGTTTTACTGCTTTAGAATGTGGTTGAAGAGACTGATTATCCAACGTGTGAATTGTTTTTACTTAATGACTAATCACTGCTTAGCTGTGTCAGACTCTGAGGAGAAAGTCATAAGTTTTCATTAGTATGTCGTTAAGCCTTTTGTAAGTATCCTTTCTCTATTCTTTAGTATAGTTTTAGTATATATATTTTTATATATTTTAATATATATTTTAATATAATATAGTAACATATTATTATAATTATTATATCATTTATATATAATAAAATGATAAATCAGCCTCCTAAGAACATGGAGTCAAATTCATCCTATTATTATATTATAATTATTATATCAATTAGATATAATAAAATGATAAATCAGCCTCCTAAGAACATGGAGTCAAATTCATCCTTTCTTGCCACGGGGGTCCCCACAAACACCACACCAGAGCCCCCTGAGGTTCCTCTCTTTCTGTCAGGGGCTGCTCCCAGTTAACCCTTCATCTCCCGTGCCCTTCCCGTGCCCCGGCCCACGCTGTCCCCGGGGCACTGCCCGGGATGTGGAACCCATCAGCGGCCCGCAGAAGGCAGGAAAGCAGCGAGGCTCATGAACAATTCATGTTCCAGCCAGCAGGGTCGGGTTTCAGCTGCAGAACCAGCCGCAAGGATCACTTAGCCCTGCTCCATTAGGATGACAAGAGGGGTATATTTACTGAAACTGGAGGCTGCACGCCTTTCAGGGCCATAATGCCCATTTTGGCTGCCTGAGTGCGTCAGCCCAGGAAAGGAGAGCGGCCCTAAAGCACTCACGGCTGCCGTGGTGCAGAGTGCTTTTCCAGAAAGGAATCATAAATATGCAACAAATTTATTTACCCTTCCTTTGTGCTAATACCTCACTGCTCAAAACAGGTTACACATCCAGATGGCGAAAAGGGAACCTAACACCAGGGACCCCAGCACCTGAATTAATTTTCCTGCCTTTGTGCTGTCATTAATTTAATGGCAATCTAAACACTGACCGTGTCCCTGCTGTGCACTTGCAGAGGTTTGATCAGCTCAGACAATGCTGGCAGAGGCTTCAGGGCAGCTCGGGGTGCAGCATTCCCTCCACAGGTGCCTTCTTTAGGCAATGACAAGAGGTCCTTTCCCAGACCCACTGGGACCCACCCTGCCATGTGCTGGGGAAGATGAGACGGGAAAGCCTTACAAATATGATTGCCTGGCAAAAGATTTTGAGAATATAGAAACTATAAGCGAGATAGAAATGAAAGCAAGCTTTGAGATCCCTCAGTTACTGAACAACTGGAAAACAATGGTGTGGCCGGCTGAAGGTGATCCCCTATTGATGGAACAACACCCTCTGCTTGAAGACAGGCCCAAGGGTCAGAGCAGACCCTGCAGCTTGGCAGAAGGGGCCCAAAGAGGAGTTTGTAGGGTTTAACATGTAACAGAGTGTGGTAATGTAATGATTCTTATAGGCTGTATGGAAATGCTGTAGGATTTGTATCTTGTACTGGATTGGTTAGTGAGAATCAGAATATTCAACACAGAAGAGAATTTATTGTATTGGAATGAGAATTTTGCTCTCTTACCCCTTTTACTCTCTTACCCTCTCACCCTCTCTCCCCCTCTTTTCTGTCAGCCTTCTCTGAGCTGTGTCAGGCAGCTCCCATCAGGGCCCTGCACTTGGCCCTTTGCAATGAACCCCAAATCCCAGCAGGATTTGCAAAAGGCCTGGGTGCAGGGGAAGGATCCCCGGGTCCAGAGGGACACTGGGCACCTCTGGGGGCACAGCCCAAGCTGCTCTGCCCGGCCCTGCCCTGCGGGGAGGAGGAGGAGCGGGGTCCCCCAGGCAGGTGACACCCACAGCACACCTGTGTGCAGGGGACAGGGAGCAAACCCTGCCCTGGGAGGGTCTGAGCTGCACCAGGGAGTTCCTCCTGCCATAAGGGACAGCAGACAGACAGACAGGCAGACAGGCAGGGAGAAGGGAAAGGGCCAGCAGGTGGTTTGCCACTGCTGCCAAGCAGAAAGGCTTGGCCAGACCTGGACAGGTGAGCAGCACTGATGAGCAGGGGGCACAAAGGGGCAGTTTGGCCGCTGGGGTTTTTCATTCTGAAAGACACAAGGAAAGATCGGCAGAGCTAATGACTCACAGCTGGCCCCCAGGAGCTTAGAAAGCTACCCAGAGGGAGCAGGAGACGTTCAGGAGCTGTTCACAGTTTGGGGGGGACACAGGAGTTGTCACCTGTGCCACAGGGACACCAGCAGGGGCAGAGCCGTGGGCAGAGCTGTGGGCAGCCAGCTCAGCTCCAGGAGCAGCAGGAGCTCTGTGCTGGGTCTGCAGCAGCCTCTGGAGAGCTGCGACCAGCTCACCTGGCAGCTCACCTGGCAGCTCACCCGACAGAGGCACAGCTGTGGATGCTCTGTGGACACCCTCTGCAGGGATGGATGGCAAGCTGCCACTCTGAGAACACTGTCACACCCAACAGCGAGGCAGACTGCCCAGTGACAGAGCCCCTGACCAGTGCCTGTGCCCAGGGACAGAGCACCTGAGCAGTGACAGAGCCCCTGCCCTGTGCCTGTGCCCAGTGACAGAGCCCCTGACCAGTGACACAGCCCCTGCCCTGTGCCTGTGCCCAGTGACAGAGCCCCTGAGCAGTGCCTGTGCCCAGTGACAGAGCCCCTGAGCAGTGACAGAGCCCCTGCCCAGTGCCTGTGCCCAGTGACAGAGCCCCTGAGCAGTGACACAGCCCCTGCCCAGTGCCTGTGCCCAGTGACAGAGCCCCTGAGCAGTGCCTGTGCCCAGTGACAGAGCACCTGAGCAGTGACAGAGCCCCTGCCCTGTGCCTGTGCCCAGTGACAGAGCCCCTGAGCAGTGACAGAGCCCCTGCCCTGTGCCTGTGCCCAGTGACAGAGCACCTGAGCAGTGACAGAGCCCCTGCCCTGTGCCTGTGCCCAGTGACAGAGCCCCTGAGCAGTGACAGAGCCCCTGCCCTGTGCCTGTGCCCAGTGACACAGCCCCTGAGCAGTGACAGAGCCCAGTGACAGAGCCCCTGACCAGTGCCTGTGCCCAGGGACAGAGCCCCTGAGCAGTGACAGAGCCCAGTGACAGAGCCCCTGAGAGCCCCTGAGCAGTGACAGAGCCCCTGCCCTGTGCCTGTGCCCAGTGACAGAGCCCCTGAGCAGTGACAGAGCCCCTGCCCTGTGCCTGTGCCCAGTGACAGAGCCCCTGAGCAGTGACAGAGCCCCTGCCCTGTGCCTGTGCCCAGTGACAGAGCCCCTGAGCAGTGACAGAGCCCCTGCCCTGTGCCTGTGCCCAGGGACAGAGCCCCTGAGCAGTGACAGAGCCCAGTGACAGAGCCCCTGAGAGCCCCTGAGCAGTGACAGAGCCCCTGCCCTGTGCCTGTGCCCAGTGACAGAGCCCCTGAGCAGTGACAGAGCCCAGTGACAGAGCCCCTGAGCAGTGACAGAGCCCCTGCCCTGTGCCTGTGCCCAGGGACAGAGCCCCTGAGCAGTGACACAGCCCCTGCCCAGTGCCTGTGCCCAGGGACAGAGCCCCTGAGCAGTGACAGAGCCCAGTGACAGAGCCCCTGAGAGCCCCTGAGCAGTGACAGAGCCCCTGCCCTGTGCCTGTGCCCAGTGACACAGCCCCTGAGCAGTGACACAGCCCCTGCCCAGTGCCTGTGCCCAGTGACAGAGCCCCTGAGCAGTGACACAGCCCCTGCCCAGTGCCTGTGCCCAGGGACAGAGCACCTGAGCAGTGACACAGCCCCTGCCCAGTGCCTGTGCCCAGGGACAGAGCCCCTGAGCAGTGACACAGCCCCTGCCCAGTGCCTGTGCCCAGGGACAGAGCCCCTGAGCAGTGACAGAGCCCAGTGACAGAGCCCCTGAGAGCCCCTGAGCAGTGACAGAGCCCCTGCCCTGTGCCTGTGCCCAGTGACAGAGCCCCTGAGCAGTGACACAGCCCCTGCCCTGTGCCTGTGCCCAGTGACAGAGCCCCTGAGCAGTGACAGAGCCCCTGCCCTGTGCCTGTGCCCAGTGACAGAGCCCCTGAGCAGTGACAGAGCCCCTGCCCTGTGCCTGTGCCCAGTGACAGAGCCCCTGAGCAGTGACACAGCCCCTGCCCAGTGCCTGTGCCCAGTGACAGAGCACCTGAGCAGTGCCTGTGCCCAGTGACAGAGCCCCTGAGCAGTGACAGAGCCCAGTGACAGAGCACCTGAGCAGTGACAGAGCCCCTGCCCTGTGCCTGTGCCCAGTGACAGAGCCCCTGAGCAGTGACAGAGCCCCTGCCCTGTGCCTGTGCCCAGTGACAGAGCCCCTGAGCAGTGACACAGCCCCTGCCCTGTGCCTGTGCCCAGTGACACAGCCCCTGAGCAGTGACACAGCCCCTGCCCTGTGCCTGTGCCCAGTGACAGAGCCCCTGAGCAGTGACACAGCCCCTGCCCTGTGCCTGTGCCCAGTGACAGAGCCCCTGAGCAGTGACAGAGCCCCTGCCCTGTGCCTGTGCCCAGTGACAGAGCCCCTGAGCAGTGACAGAGCCCCTGCCCTGTGCCTGTGCCCAGTGACAGAGCCCCTGAGCAGTGACACAGCCCCTGCCCAGTGCCTGTGCCCAGGAGGGCCAGCCCAGCTCTCCAGCGGCACATCGTTAACCTGGCACACACAGCAGTGCTCTCCTCTCCCCTCTGGGGCGGGACTCGTCCTGCCCACACCTCGGCGAGGTTCCCCATGCAGGCATCAGCCCCTCGGCGGAGCACAGTGCCTCCCGCCCTGCCGAAGGGATGGCTCGAGCTCCGACGGCAGCGGGACAGAGGCAGTGCATGCGGTGTTTCCCACTGTAGTATATGGTAGAGATAATTCATGCTATTACTCTATAAAATATTGTAAAATCCAAACCATGTCTTTTGACCCTCCTGGCCGGGAGCAGTGTCTTATTCATATACATCTAGTTCCCGGACGCACGTTAAGATAAACATCGAAGTTTTAACGTAAAAATAGAAGCTTCCAGGACAATAATCACCGGCTTCCCCGGGTCGCCCGGGCCCACCTAAGAGTGATTATCGCCTCCACGATCACATCTGTCGAGATAACCGGACGGCGCCACCCTGATACATGTGAATACACGGCTTCCCCGGAGTCGACTGACAACATCAGACACCTGGACTGAGCCTTTGTCCACCTCTGCACATGCAAAGCTGCGGTTATGCATGTGAAGAGACACAAAGAACATTCGGTCATCTCTGCCTCGGGCAGGATAAACCCGAGGAGCTCGCTGAGCAAGGCCGCATTTGTGAACTGGGGAGACTCTGACGCTCGGAGGTCAGAGCCGTGTGTTCACCCAGCGCCAATCCCGGGCTCGACGCTGACTCTTTGGCTGTGGTGGTTTCGACAACCGAACTTCGGTCTCACAGACAAATTAATAAATCTTTGCTAAGTTTTCTTATAAGTTTGGCTCACGATTTGATAACTTATAACACCATTAATCCGAGCAAGCACATCCAAGGCAAAGCCCCGCAGGTGCCAGTGCTTCCTCCGCGCCCCGATCAGCCCCGGCCGCAGCAGGGAGCGCCTGTCCGGACCAGGGCAGGGCAGGGGGCACAGCGAGCCTGAGCCCCCCGCCCGGGCAGAGCCCCGCGCTGCGCTGACCTGCGAGTGTCCGTTCAGCAGCACCTCCTCCGCGAACCGCACTTTGACCGGGTTGGTTTTCAGCCTCGCCCTCTTCTCCTCGGTCAGGAACGACGACTTCGGGCCGCCCTGCAACGACAGCGGGGCTGGGTTGGGGCAGGGCAGCGCCGGGCCATGCGGGGCTGCTCACCTGCGCTGCCCGCATACACCTGGAGCGGCGTCCCAGGGAGCCCCTGGGCTCCCGGCCCCTTCGCACCTTGCTCCAGATTGCAATGCAGGATGTTTGCCATTACCATCTGTACGGCAGATTACCTTTGTCAGGTGGGCAGTTTGCCTTATCTCTCTCTTTGAGTGACCACATTCACACCTCCCTCGGGAGGGGACATTGCTGATAACAGACTATTGAATGTCACTGCATGGCTGATAAGAACTATAACATCCCATTGTGAGATGCTCCGCCCAGGGGGAGGAGCCAAGCATTGCTGCCCAGATATAATCCAGAGGGAGGAGCCAAGCATTGCTACCCAGATACAATCCAGAGGGAGGAGCCAAGCATTGCTACCCAGATATAATCCAGAGGGAGGAGCCAAACATTGCTGCCCAGATATAATCCAGGGGGAGGAGCCAAGCATTGCTACCCAGATATAATCCAGAGGTTTTTGAGACACCAGCACGGCTTTCTCCACGGGATTCCCCAGAGGAACAGCAGCTGTCTCTCCTCCCACTGGATCTTCAGAGGAAGAACACATCCTTCTCTGCAGATCCCCCTGCTCCAACAGAACCACCCCTGACACTGCAGGAGGGCTCAGCCACATTTCCAATGGGACTGCCACCAACACCCTGACCCACAGGGTGTCAGGCTGGGTTCTGACTCTGTCACTGTTGTTCTAGTGTACTGCATTTTTCATTTTATCCTTTTATTTGTTTCCTTTCCCTATTAAAGAACAGTTATTTCTTGCTCCCATATTTTTGCCTGAAAGCCCCTTAATTTAAAATTTATAGCAATTGGGAGGGGTGGGGAGGGTTTACAGTCTCCATTTCAGGGGAGGCTCCTGCCTTCCTTAGCAGACTCCTGCCTTTCCAAACCAAGGCAGACCTGCTGGGCAGCTGCTGCAGCCAGCGGACACTGTGTGCCAAGTGCCAGTGTCACTCTGCCACTGTCACTGCACGGGGTCCAGCTGCTGTGCCCAGGTGTCCCCCCCACACCGGGACCCCGCAGAACAGAGGATGGCACTGGGCTGCACCCAACCCAGCACACAGAGAGCCTGGTAGTGATGGACAGACCCTGCCTGCCCTGCTGGGCTGCCTGGAGTGCTGCAAACCACCCACGGGCACCAAGGATGGGATTGCTGTCACCAAGGACATGGACACTTGCTGTCACCATGGTACGGTCCATCAGGCTCAGGTGTGCTCAGGAACCCTGCACAAACACCCTGTAAAGCATGGTGGTCCCCCAGAGCAGCAGTAGAGCCCCTCAGTGTCCCTCCAGGTAGAGCGAATCCTTCACCTGTGCCTGTGTCGCCTGCCTCAGCCCCACCCTGCCCTGGGGGCAGGAGATAGGGGAACAGATCGGGATTTGGGAGGCGGCCCCGAGCCCTCTGGGCATCCCAGAGCCCAGCAGGACACATGGGGCAGAGCCCGTTGCTGCCGCCCATGCCACCGCACCTGGGGCTGCCGCAGCCGCTGCCCACCCTGCCCAGGGCTGGCTGTGGCACCAAGGATGCTCAGGGCACCCCCGTGGCCCTGACCAGCCCCTGCCAGCCCAGCCACCCCTGCCCGTGCCCGGGGAGCTGAGGAAGGGTCACTCACGGCCGTGCAGCGCAGGACGGTCAGCAGCAGCTCATCACCAGCGTCCCTGCAGAGGGACACACGGTCAGCGCAGGGACACCGCGGCCCCGGGGACACGGGGACATGTGTGTGACACACCTGATGAGGCTGGCGGCCCGCTCCACCGACAGGCCCTCCACCGTGCTGGAGTTGATCATGATGAGCTGGTCCCCGGGCTGCAGCTTGCCGTCAGCTGTGCTCCCTGCAGAACGGAGCGGAGCGGGGTGAGGCACGGGGAGCCCGACCGCCTGCCAGGGCAAGGAGCTGCTCACCCCGTGGAAACAGCCCTCTGAGATCAACAGCACAGCCAGAAATCACCCCAATCACCCTCTGAGATCAGCACCACCCCGCCGAAAACCTTTGAGATCACCACCACGCTGCAGGAACCCTCCGAGACCACCTCCCAGCACCTGCTGCCCTCAAGAACCAGCTGACTGGCAAAATAAAAGGGGCTGAAGGGCACTGGGGGCTGACACCACCTGGTGTGTCCCTGTCTGTGTCCTTGTCCCCCCACCTGAGCCTCCCTCTGCCCGTGGAGAACCCCCCAGGATCTGTCCCCTTGTCACAGCCCACCACACTGGGAACCAAGCAGCCATGGGGTCCCACCAGCAAAGGGCAGGCTCAGAAGGACAGGTTTTCTGTGTTTCAGGTTTAGTAAACTGAAGGGCAGGTTTCTTTGTGCCTCATCTTTAGTAAAATATTGGTTCTTTCTGATTAGGAGAAGAGAGAAGCGCAGCAGAAAAAACTCTCTTCGTACTCCCCACAGCTCTCAGGTAATTCCACATGGGAAGGGGCACAAAGAGAAGTGGGAGTGACAGACGGTCCCTGACCTGGCCCAGAGCCCAGCCAGCCCCCAAACAGAGGGCAGACACCCACAACAACAGGTGAAAACTGCGTGGTTTTCTGCACACATTTAAAAAAAAAAAAAAACAAAACCACCAAACAAAAAAACAACTCAGAATGAGAGGTTTTGAGTTGCACCCATCACCTTCTATAGCTAAATATCAATCTGATTGATTTCAGCACTGCCTGCATCCAGCAGCAAAGCCCTGTGTCACAGGGCTGAAAGCCCAGGGTCTGTTCAGATCACCGTGGCCACAGTGGAGTAAGATGAAATTCTCTGAGATAAGATTAAATTCTTCCTCTGAATTTCAGATAAAACACTAGGAAGGACTTTGAGCAGCTCTCTGCATCAGGAAGGCCAGCAGTGAGAGAGCACAGGTGAGGGACACGTGGGGACACTGACACTGGCCCCAGACTGGGAGATGGGACAAGTCCTGGTGCCCCTGGGGGCGAGCTCAGGGCTCTCCCACCAACAGAAACCAAAGCCAGCAGCTCATGCCCACAGCAACAGAACCCACAGCCCTGCAGTCAGTCTGTCCATCCCCACACCAACAGAACCCACAGCCCTGCAGTCAGTCTGTCCATCCCCACACCAACAGAACCCACAGCCCTGCAGTCAGTCTGTCCATCCCACAATAACAGAACCCACAGCCCTGCAGTCAGTCTGTCCATCCATCCCACAATAACAGAACCCACAGCCCTGCAGTCAGTCTGTCCATCCCCACACCAACAGAACCCACAGCCCTGCAGTCAGTCTGTCCATCCCACAATAACAGAACCCACAGCCCTGCAGTCAGTCTGTCCATCCATCCCACAATAACAGAACCCACAGCCCTGCAGTCAGTCTGTCCATCCCACAATAACAGAACCCACAGCCCTGCAGTCAGTCTGTCCATCCCACAATAACAGAACCCACAGCCCTGCAGTCAGTCTGTCCATCCCCACACCAACAGAACCCACAGCCCTGCAGTCAGTCTGTCCATCCCACAATAACAGAACCCACAGCCCTGCAGTCAGTCTGTCCATCCATCCCACAATAACAGAACCCACAGCCCTGCAGTCAGTCTGTCCATCCCACAATAACAGAACCCACAGCCCTGCAGTCAGTCTGTCCATCCCACAATAACAGAACCCACAGCCCTGCAGTCAGTCTGTCCATCCCCACACCAACAGAACCCACAGCCCTGCAGTCAGTCTGTCCATCCCACAATAACAGAACCCACAGCCCTGCAGTCAGTCTGTCCATCCATCCCACAATAACAGAACCCACAGCCCTGCAGTCAGTCTGTCCATCCATCCCACAATAACAGAACCCACAGCCCTGCCTGCAGTCAGTCCATGCCCACAATAACAGAACCCACAGCCCTGCAGTCAGTCTGTCCATCCCCACAATAACAGAACCCACAGCCCTGCCTGCAGTCAGTCTGTCCATCCCACAATAACAGAACCCACAGCCCTGCAGTCAGTCTGTCCATCCCACAATAACAGAACCCACAGCCCTGCAGTCAGTCTGTCCATCCATCCCACAATAACAGAACCCACAGCCCTGCAGTCAGTCTGTCCATGCCCACAATAACAGAACCCACAGCCCTGCCTGCAGTCAGTCTGTCCATCCCACAATAACAGAACCCACAGCCCTGCAGTCAGTCTGTCCATCCATCCCACAATAACAGAACCCACAGCCCTGCAGTCAGTCTGTCCATCCCACAATAACAGAACCCACAGCCCTGCAGTCAGTCTGTCCATGCCCACAATAACAGAACCCACAGCCCTGCCTGCAGTCCGTCCATCCCTCCATCCCCTGGTGCTCTGTCATCCCCACACCTGCAGTGACGGAGGCGATGGTCAGCGGCAGCCCAGGGCAGATCTCGAAGCCGTAGTGCTGCAGCACCAGGTCCTTGTACACGGTCACCGTCACCTTGGCCCGGCTTGGGGGCTGCCCTGCACTGTCCCCAGCGCTGTCCATCGCTGCCACGCTGCCCCTGGGCCACCAGAACACACAGTTAGACAGGCCACTACCACAGACAGCTTGTCCAAGGATGCACGCTGTGCCTGCTGCCCAGGGGCTGCCCCAGGGCTCTGCAGGAGGCTGTGAGCACAGGTCAGCCCAGCCCAGTGGTCACACAGAAGGAGAGAAGGTCACACAGGTGTGCCCCAGCACAAGGCATCGCCTCCACCCACAGGGAGCAGCAGCACCCTCACCCAGCGAGGCAGCACGGCAGCTCTGGGCCGTCCACTCAGCCCATGGATGTCCACTCTGTGCCCACTCTGTGTCCACTCCACCCTAATGTCACTCCCAGGCCCCAGGGAAGGAAAGCAGCCGTGGGCCAGGGTCCCTGGCAATGCAGCCCAGGCCAAAACGCGGGCCCACAGAGAGAAGCACGAGCCCACCTTCAGGAAGAGCCAGTTCCAGTGGAGCAATGCTGCATTTCCTCCTCACAAAACCCCAGCAGAGCACGGCAGGAACGGCAGCCCCTGGCAGCCAGGAGGGTTGCTCACAAACTGCTGCCGCTGTTGTGTTTCTGTGAGCGCATTTCCCAAGGACAGACACAGCGAGCAGGCCGCGCAGGCCGCGCAGGCCGCGCCAGCCCCAGGGGCGGCCTCTGCCCCAAGGTGCTCCCTCCACAGACCCCACTCACCTGGGCAGGCTGTCCCGAGAGCGATGAAGCCATTTTGCTACCATTTGCTCTATTCTACATGCTTTTCGTGTATGGATTAAGCTAGTCTCCAAATCTCCCATTTACCTGGAACTGACAGAAATCACAGGGAAACGGTGACTGGGGAATTCTTCTGGACAGCTTTCAGCACTACCAACACTAACCCACAACCCATTACAAGATATTACATGATATTACATGGTATTACATGGTATTACATGATATTACATGATATTAAATTATATTAAACTATATTAAATTATATTAAACTATATTAAATTATATTAAACTCAAAAAGATCAGCTGGCACGCTGTGGAGAGCAGGGCTCTGGCAGAGTGTGACACCTGTTGTGACACTCAGGGCACCCCCTGCTCACCCGGCCTCCCCTGCCCGGTGCTTTTGGTCACTTGTGTCATGCTCACACTGCGTTACCCTTCCATGGCACACAGTGGTGCCACCATCCCTTTCCCAAGGATTTCATGGCTCCATGGGCTTCTTTTGGAGGGGCACAGGCTGGGTGAGCTTCCCACCCACAAAGTGAGCCTGGCAGACCACGAGTCCTCAGTGAAAGCAGGAATTGGTTTGACAGTAACTGCAGAGCTCAGCGGTACCTGCACACCACAGCAACGTGCCCGGCAGGGCAATGCACTACCCTGCAGCCATGCACCACTGCCATGCACCACTGCCAGCCCTCCAAGCTCCAGCCCTGGGAACAACCGTGGGCTGGGGCACAGCCCGACACAAAAAGAAACAAATTGTGCCTCTATCTGCCAGAATCCGTGAGGAGAATCAGCTCCCTGTGTTTCACTCCCAGAACTGCTGTATCCACCTTTCACAGGGTGCCTCTGGCCAGCCCGGGAGCTCCGCACGTCCTGGCCTCCTCCCCGGTGTCCTCTGCTGGGGCTGGACGCTCTGTGCCTCAGGGACATGCTGGGACAGCGGGCTGCTGCTCCATGCTGCAACACAAACAGCAGAGACTGAACCTACGCACAGCAGAGACGGCTGGAAGCGCAGAAATGAGGAGCAAAAAAAATGTGCCGCAACAAAAAACGGGTCCTGTTCCACTCAGCACCTTCCCAGGCCTTAGAACTGCCCCAGCTCACACTTTCCAACTCACATTTGATGGTGAGCTCCTCACAGGGAGCCACTCCAGCCTGCTCAGAACACGGGGGGAATGCAGCCCTTCAGCAGTTCTGGCACTGGGCACTTTGCTCCTCATACAGCGCAATTCACCCTGTCCCTCCAGCCACACAGCTCTTGAGAGGCCCCTCCGACCACAATGGGGACCCTGTGATCCTGCTGTGTCTCCAGAGATCAGGGGCCTCCTCAGCACCTCCAGCTGCAGCTCCAGCCCTCACCTCTTCCCTTTCTCTCTGCAGAAAAGACAGATTTTCTATCTGGCCTTTATAAGAGGGAATTCCCAGACAAAATCTCTTAACCAATAGGACAAAGAGGAAAGTGTGAAAAACAAGCACAAACATTTAAAACCCCCAGATGGAGCACTAAGGAAAGAAAACCTGCTCTCCTTTCAGGACACTGCAGCGTTTGGGCCAAACAAGAGGTGTGCTAGAGGAGGCAGCCTGGCAGGTGTTTCCTGAAAACAATGCACAGCTCCAGGAGCAGCCCCTGTCCCCACAGCATCCTCGGGGCACAGGGAGCTGAGTGGGACAGGTCTTGGGATCTCTGCTGCTCACAGTGACTTTGAGAAATGTTAGAAAGTCTCTGTTCCCAGCCCAGCACTCAAAGGAGGAGTCAGAGCTCTTCATTTCTCGGTCTCAAGGTTGTTTATTGTTCCTTGTCTATAAAATTCTTTCTCCTGCCCTGCCCAGGTCCGTCCAGCAGGACAGTCAGAGGCACTCTGCCTGCCCCAGGGCAGTGTTATCTTTTTGTACTAAAAACTACCTGTGCAATATTTACAGTTACTTCCCAATACCCATCACCTGTGTTAGACACTGAGCTTCTACTCTAAACCAATCCCAAAGTGCCAACATCACCCAGAAGATGGAGGCCAAGAAGAAGAAGGAGAAAGGTTGGACATGCCCAGATCCCTCCATCTTGCCCCCTGAACCGCCATTCTAAAAAACCCAAAATCTATTTTTCACCCTGTGATAAATTCACTGTCATTCTACTTAATTTGTCATGGCTTGCAGATCTTCATCTGAGGTTGGTAACTTGCTCCATGGGTCACTATCAAACCCACAGGGGCATTTTGGGCTCTGAGCCAGGGTCTCTGAGCCCCCTGGCAGGGTCTGGGCTGCTCAGGACAGACAGAGGGATCCCTGGCTCCTGACAGACAGGGCCCCCAGCTGTCACCTGTGCCAGCCTGGGGTGTGCCAGGGCTGCCCCTGGCCCTGTGCAGCTGTTTCTGTGCCAGGCCCCTGAGCACAGCCCTGAGCAGCTGGAGCTGGCTCCGTCCCTCACAGAGCTCCTCACAGGGAGCTGTGACCCCACGGGGATTCTCGTGGCCTCCTGGCCCTTCTGGAGAGCCACAGCTCAGTGTCTGGAAGCAACCCCAGTGGGTGCCCCTGGGTTTTCAGGAGCAAAGCAGACCTGAAGGTCAGGGCCCACTCCAGAGCCATGTGGCAGCCGGGTCAGGACAGGCACATCACAGCTCTGACCAGCAAGGAGAAACCAAACCCGCTCCCAAGGAGAGTAATTCTACATTTCATGGAAGATATTAATTCATCAAACTGAATTTTTTTGGATGGGCAAAAGTTTTCCTGGTATTTTTGATATGACGTGTTTGTTTTAAGGTGTTGTCTCCCAGCAGACAAGGCAGCAGGAGCAGCAGCACGCCTGCACCCACTGACAGGGAATTGCCTGGTGAGATGCTGTCACAGCTGCTGTGAAGCTCTGGATGCTGCTCCCCTGTCCCTTCACCCATAGGAGCTCCTGGCAGCGCTGCTCAGGTGTTTGCCACCAGCAGGGAGCTGCTGGGCTCTGCCTGAGCAGGACCTCACCCATGGACAGCAGACATGGCTGCAAAGGGCCCCGGAGCAGCCCTGGGAGGAGGGCTTGGGGTGCTGGTGGGTGAGAGCTGTCCCTGCCCTGGCCATGAGTGCTGGGAGCCAGAAACCCCCTGTGCTGCCTGAGCCCCCAGCGTGGGCACTCTGCCCCCCTGCCCCGCTCAGGTGAGACCCCACCTGCAGGGAGGGGCCGTTCTGCCCCGCTCAGGTGAGACCCCACCTGCAGGGAGGGGCCGTTCTGCCCCCCTGCCCCACTCAGGTGAGACCCCACCTGCAGGGAGGGGCCGTTCTGCCCCCCTGCCCCGCTCAGGTGAGACCCCACCTGCAGGGAGGGGCCGTTCTGCCCCGCTCAGGTGAGACCCCACCTGCAGGGAGGGGCCGTTCTGCCCCCCTGCCCCGCTCAGGTGAGACCCCACCTGCAGGGAGGGGCCGTTCTGCCCCCCTGCCCCGCTCAGGTGAGACCCCACCTGCAGGGAGGGGCCGTTCTGCCCCGCTCAGGTGAGACCCCACCTGCAGAGCTGCCTCCAGCCCTGAGGCCCAGCACAGGAAGGATGTGGAGCTGCTGCAGCCAGGCCAGAGCAGGCATCCTGTTTGATCAGAGGGCTGGAACACCTCTGCTGTGAGGAAAGGCTGGCAGAGCTGGGATTGTTCAGGCTGCAGAAAGGAAGGCTTTGGAGAGACCTCAGAGCCCCTTCCAGCACCCAAAGGGAACTCACAAGACACATGGGGACAGATTTCTATCAGGGCCTGTAGTGACAGGACAAGGGATGATGGGTTCAAAGTAAAAGAGGCGGACTGCGACTACACATGAGCAAAAAGCAATGTACAATGAGAGTGGGGAGGGAAAGCTGAGCTCTGTCCTGACCAGCGTGGCCTGAGCTGCACCAGAGCCTCTCCTGGCATGGCCCAGCCTCTCTGCAGCAGAGCTCTTGAAGGTCAGCCAGGTCTGGGGAGGCACCAGCACAGAGCAGAACCCACCCACCTTCCCACAGAGCTCCTGGAGATGCTTTAGGGTGGCTTTTGGTTTGGTGGGGTTTTTTTGGGTTTTTTTGGTTTGTTTTTTTTTGTTTGTTTGTTTTTGTTTTTGTTTTTTTTTAATTGTAGGGATTGTTTGTTTGTTTTAGTTTTGTTTGTTTGTTTTTTGTGCCTGTGGAGCTCAGCACTCTGGAGTATCCCCATGGCCTTCCTGGCACCCTCCACAGAGGAAAAACTCAAGTTCAATTAAAAGCTTTGTTGCTTTTTATTACTACCTGAGACTCAGATTTCTGCCTATAAACAAATGCTACCAGGAAAAAAAAAACCAAAAAAAAAAAAAAAACAAGCAAGAAAAGAAAAAGGAAAAGGAAAAAGGAAAAAAGGAAAAAGGAAAAACAAAAAAGGAAAAAGGAAAAACAAAAAGGAAAAAGGGAAAAGGAAAAAGGAAAAACAAAAAACAAAAAAGAAGAAAAAAGAAAAAAGAAAAAAAAGAAAAAAAAAAAGACCCAAGCAAAACCAAAAAAACTCAACCACACAAAAAACCCCTACAACGACCCCCATGCTCCATCCAGCTGCTGTAAATCAGGAGCAGCCAGCAGGAGAATTTGGCCCTCGTCATCCCGGGGAGGCAGGAGAGATGCTGCACCTGCACTGTCCTCGCCCAGCTGACACCGGTGAGGGTTCACACAGGCACCCTCTGGCCCCCAGAGAGCAGAATGAGCTCTGCAATGTGAGTTTCTGGGCACGCAGAGACCCCGGGCAGCAAACAGAAGTGGTTTCAGCAGAGGCCGCGGGTGCTGGGCTGGCTGGGGCACGAGGGGAGAGGCAGGAATAGCTTTGTGCAGGGCGCACACAAACCGGAGGAAATGACAGACAGAACGTTCAAGGTGGAAAGGAGGGAAATCAATACTTCCCTCTTGAGCAGCTTTCACTCCTAAAAATAGCCTGAGGTGGAAGTGTGTGAAGACTTTCCTTGGCCCTGCAGCTCCGTCGCCCTGCACAGGGGCTGCCAGCACACAGGGCAGGTTTCCTCCTGCCCCCTGCCCCACAGCCCCTTCCCAAGGAGCCCTCTGCAATACCCCCA